GCTTTGTGAAGCCCTTCACTCCTGTCAAGTTGAAAGCCATGCCCACCCCTAAGCAGGCCTCCCACACCCGACCAGGAGCTCATGGGTCCCCTCAAGAGATGTACCCCCCACCCAGTTTTCACTGCCCACTGGGCTCCTGGTGTGAACGGAGGCTCCTAATTTAGCTGCTACTGCCAGGTGGGTGGTTCTGGAAGCATCCACATTCCCTGCAAGGGGGAGGGGGCAGGAGGAGAGGCCCAAAGCCACAGTGATGCCTAGCAGAGCCTAGGTACACTGCTTTCTAGAGTATTGCTCCTGCGTCAGACTTTGGGTGCTCAGGGACTAGAAGCATTCAATTTATCTCCAAGCTCAGTCCAGACTTGCTAGCCCCTCCCAGGCCAGCGACACAGCTGCCCTCTCTCTAGGAGAGGACCCTGAACCAACCTGCCTGTGACCACTGGCATGGGCCAATCTTTTCCCAAAGTGTGGAAATCCAGGGGACCCTGGAAGCAGAAGGGGGCAGACCCAGCCTCAGAGTCCAGCAGTGTTGTCCCACTTGGCCTCCATTCCCTATCGCTCTCTGCTTATTCCAGAGACAGGCCGTAGGGGCTACAGGTGAGGACTGACACTTGTGCAAGGTACACTTATCATCCGTGATTCCCAGAGGTGTGTGGCCTGGCAGAGGCACTCCCAGCACTGCAGAACCCACCCTATGGGAGAAGGCCCTTGCTTAGTGAAAACGTCAGAGCATTTAGAATGGGTAGACCCAAAGGGATTCTTGGGCATGCTGCTAGAAGTCAGGCAGACAGCCCCTTCCCTGCACTAGTCCCAGTTGATGCTGTGTGTGTAGCTTTGATGAATAAGAAATGAAGATGCTGATTAATTATGGCTTCATATGCACCAAAGTTGGACAAAGGCACTCATCAGGATGGGATTCCTTAGGGGGTACAAAGCCAATGATGGCTGAAGGCCAGGACCCTCTACAGCCCCAAGGGTGGGGCGATGGTAAGAGGTTACTGGAGGGAATAAAGTCTGTAAGTGGCCAGAGAGGGACTTCTAGAATGTTCCCCTGTCTAAACTCCCCTAGACCTCTGTGTCTTGTCTGTAAAATGGGTGGTAGTAGAGATGTCTCCATCACAGGACCAATGGGACCACGCACTTAGCAGGCCTGGCACAGAGTCTTCTCAGGTCTCGGGCACACAGCCACCTTCCATGGTGAGAACAGATGGCGGCTGGCGCCCCCCAGCTCTCTGGCACTGAGACCACATCCCCAGCCACCCACTCAGGTAGGTCACATTGGCACACTGGGCAGCAGGCTTTGCTGATTGGCTTTCCAGCTTCCTTCCTGGTTTCTCTTGTGCTCTCCCACAGTGGCCCAGATAGTGTGTCGGCCAAGATCAAGCTCTTTTGCTTTTGCAAAAGAGGAGGGAATATCCAAGAACAAAAAACAAAAACCATGGCACTAGAGCAGGCTTGTCTCCCCTGGACCCTTAAGAGAGGCAACCTCCCAGAAAGATCAACTCACGCTGCTGTCAGCCCAAGTGGCCACACTGAAAGCTTTTCTTATGCCAAGCTGGATTCTAAGTGGACCTAGAGGTGTGAGTTAAACTCTGTGATCCCTGTCAATGTCCCATCTAGTCCTCACAAGGGAAAAACAAAATGGATAAAGAAGAGATCTGTTGGCCATGCCCCGAGGTCTTAAATTCTGGCCCCAAGCTTTATTGAGCTCAGAGAGGCCAAAGGGCTGGACTGAGATCACATAGCCAGGCAGAGTACTTTCTTTTCTTTCTTTTTAATTTTTGTCAGTCATGGAGCTTGAACTCTGGGCCTGGGCACTGTCCTTGAGATCTTCAGCTCAAGGCGAGTGATCTACCACTTGAGCTACAGCACCACTTCCAGTTTTCTGGTGGCTAACTGGAGATAAGAGTCATAGGGATTTTCCTGCCCAGGCTGGCTTGGAACCATGATCCCCAGATCTCAGCCACCTGAGTAGCTAGGATTATAGGTGTGAGCCACCAGCGCCCAGAGGTCCATTGATTCTTAACATGCTGGCTTCTGGGATGGATCCTGGGACAGAGATGGGAGGGGAGGGAGCCTCTCACTACAGGGGAAATAAGGAAAGGGGCTGGGTAAACTGGCCAGAGGCCATAGGTGCCAGTGTGGCCCCACAGGCCCAGCCCTGGCAGGGTATGACAAGCGTCCTCAACTCTAAAGGCAAAGCTGTCTCCAGGTTCCAGAGCATGCCCTTTCCTGATCCCCAGGGCCACGTGTCCAGAGAGCTTGGAGAATCAGACCTGCACAGTCCAAATGGGCTGTCATTTCAGTAACCCTGCTGGGCTTCCTAGACACAGATCGTGTAGATTTTGTCAAAGGGTCAGATCATGGCCAGACTCCCCTGACTAAGTTTCTGGTGTGTTCCCTTAGGAATTGCCTCCTAGGGCTGGCTGAGCTGCTGTCAAGCCCTCTCTACTGGCCCACACTAGCTGTCAGCTGCCTTCCCCTCCCTGTTTCTAGGAGTAGGGATGGCGATATAGCTGCTGGGAGGGGAGCCTCCATTCCCCTTGTTGCCCAGCACCTGCCCACCTGATAAATATGCTTCAACAAACCCTCCCACATCCTCAGTCCTAGAGGTGAATTGTGTCCTGCAGGCAGACTGTCCAGATACTCAGCCCTATTCAACATTCCCTTTGCCCCCGCCCCCATCTCCCTTCAGTGCTGGCCCCACTCACCTACCTCAGCCCCCACCCACCTCAGCCCACACTCAGGAGTTGGCTCAGGGCCTGAGCCTCCAGAGAAGAGGGCTCTGGCCAAGGTATTCAGTAGAAAGGTATTCAGTAGAGTGAGAACTGGGAAAACTGCCTGCAACCCATTGCAGGTGCAAGCCTCAGACCTGTTTCCACGCCTATGGGCAGTTGTTGGGGGGGGGGGTGCGGAGGGGGAGGGCGCAGGCCCTAGCCCAGAACTGCTAGGAACATCCAGGCTTGGTGACTAGAGAGTGACCCCTTGCCACAGCATCCATAATGGCACTTGCTTTTATTTATCATGTCCACTCCATGCCCAAAATGGCTGCCCCAGCTCCTATAGTTAATGGGGTGGGGTTTTGAACCTATGTGGGTGAAATCACCATCTTAGGCCATGGTAGGTAGTCTGGGCATACAAAATTAAAGCCACTATGCAGGTTCCGAGTTAGACCTTGGGTTATCTGTCTATAAAAGCTGACAACCCGCCATGTGGTAGGGAAAGCATTCACTAAACCACTGTAGGGGTTAGCCTGGTAGCACTGATGACCAGCACTCACTGGAGAGGTGGCTATAAATGCCCATTTGGCCCTTGTGGGGACCATGAACAGAAACTTGGGGATATCTGGGATCCACCTTATCTCCTATGTGGTTGGGAGTTACATACACTCCACAGTGACCTGGAAATCCAAGGCTAACCTAAGGATAACAGGGACAAAGTAAGCCAAGGTGTGGTGAGGGCCACAGAGCAGGAGCCAGTGCAGAGTGCACAGCAGATGAGAGGACCAGACCATCATAGGCACTGCCACTAGTCCCTAGCCCATGAGGCTCCCTACCAGCTGGTGGGGATGGGAGCGCTCAATTTCTGAAAGGTCTCTCCTTTTCCTGGTGAAAAAGGCAATGTGCCTATCTCCCCCAGGGCCGTCTCAGGTGATGGGGCTGGGCCTAGGGGAGATACAGTGCACTGGCTATCCATCCCCTAAGTCGCTCTGCTTCAAGGCACCAGATACCACAGACCAGACTCCCAGCCGCTCCCCCCATACCCTCAGCCAGGATTCTCCAGCTGCAGGGAAAGACTGGGTCCTAGCTTGGGCAAAGAGTCTGGCAGACTGGCTTGGCTGGCAAGGACTCTATCCAGATCATCCCCTCACCTATCAGGTTGGCTCCAGGAGATCCAGACCCAGGGGGCTGGAGAGGATCTAGGCCTAGCTGACCCACAGCTTCTCTGTGTGCAAGCAAACAGTCATAAGACACTCTCAGGAGTGTTTGTCCAGCTAGATCCCCAAGCAGGATCCAGACCTGAGACACCTGTGCATGTATCTGGGGGAGGATATCACTAGTTTTCTGGCTCCACGTCTGGGGCGAGCTTAGTGGAGAGTGGAAGAAACGAAGCAGGTGGGTTTGGAGGAAGCCTTCAGACCTTATGGAGACCTCATTCATAGGAGAGGAGAGATGAGGGGCACCTGCCGAGTCAGGAGCAGGCCCAGGACTGAGTCCCTTGCCTAGGACGGCGCAAATGCCGGCGGAGGGACTCAGGCGCTCAGCGATATGCTTCGTTTCTTACTGAATCGGGGTGGCAGTCTTGCAGCAAAGAGTTTCTGGGAGCAGTGACCCAAAATTTAGTGGGAACAAGGCAGGGGTGGGGCTGCAGAGGCCTAGCGCACACCCTCATACTCCAGAATTCCGAACAAAGGTCTGGCCGGATGGGGACCGGGCCAGCCGGGGGCCGCCACGCCCTCCAGCCCGCGCCCACGACAGGTTGCGGGCCGCCATGCCCGTGGCCGCCTGCAGGGGCCGCCGCCTCTTCAGGAATGCGCCGCCTTTGTCTGGGGCCGCGCGGTGCGGGAGCACCGGGTGACTGAGCGCCTCCTGCGGTCCGGCCTGGGCGTCCTAGCCGGGCGCGCCCAGGACCCGCTCGCGGGCTCGCCCTCCACCCTCCGCCCGGCCCGGGCCGGCGCCCAGGTGAGCGCCCCGCCCGCCGCGAGGCCCCGCCCCGGCCCGCCCCGGCCCCGCCCCGGCCCGGCCGGCGGGGAGCTCGGGCGGATTCCTCGCGCGTCAAACCACATGATCCCATAAAACATTCATCCGCTCCCGGCCCGCGCCGCGAGCGCCCCGCCAGTCCGCGCCGCCGCCCTCACCCTGCGCGCCCGCGGCCGGCGAGCCCAGCCCCAGCCCGGCGGAGCGGAGCGGAGCGGAGCGCGCCGAGCCTCGTCCCGCGGCCGGGCCGGGACCGGGCCGGAGCGGCGGCGCCTGGATGCGGACCCGGCCGCGGGGAGACGGGCGCCCGCCCCGAAGCGACTTTCGGTCCCCGACGCGCCCCGCCCGACCCCTAAGATGAAGAGGGCGTCCGCCGGAGGTGAGTGTCCGCGCAGCGCCCCGGCCGGGCTGCAAGTGGGGTCACCGTGCGGGGACTCCTCGCCCCTCCCCCGGAGGTGCAGGACACGTCCGGGGCTGCCGGCGCCGGGGGAAGGGTCGCCAGGCCGCCGGGAGGGGCCACCGCAGTGCCACGCCGGACTCGGGCCGCCGGCGCCCCGGCCCCGGGAGGGCGGAGCCGGCGGCAGCAGAAAAAGTTGCCGCTTTCCGGGGAAAGTTGAAGGCGACAGCAGGGCTAAGGGCGGCGGGTCGGGGGGTCCCAGATGTTGACCAGGTCCCGGGTGGAATCTGCAAGCTGGAAGGGCGGGGTCCGGCCTCGGAGCGCCCGAGCCGCGAAAGGGTTAATGAACGGGGTTTGCTGGAACGTGGGTACAGAGCAGTTTCAGCTCACAATCTTCCATTTTCTCAGGGGTCGGGACGAATGGGGGCGTTGGCGGCAGTAGAGGGCGTGGGGGACGGGGCAGCCCCAAGTGCGACCCCCATAGGTCATGCATTGAGAACAGACAGCAAAGCTTACCTGCATCTGCAACCTGAGGGTCCCTGCGGGGCTCAGTTAAAGGGAGTGAGGGGTGCTGGGGTTCGCAGCACCCCCTTCCTGGCAGTCCTGGGAAACCCTTCCCCCCACGGTGTGAAGTCCCCCCCGCAGTGAGGACAGGGGAGGGTGGTCTTCATGTGGGTTGAGCATGCCCTGCCTGGAGAATCTGGGGTGAGTACATTGCCTGTCCCAGGTGCCCACCCAGCTGCCCTGCTGATGTCCACCGTGCTGCAGCCTGCACACACGTTTCCTTGCACGTGCACGTGTTACGTGGGCTGCACACTTGCACACCTTGCATGCATAGGCACGCCAAAGATGCCCCAGTGTGCATATGCGCGAACACTACGGGTGCACACACTCTGAGAGTGCACATCCGTGTCCTCACCCCCTCTGCACGCCTACGTCCACACATGCATGCACACATGCCTGCTGTGATCTCCATGCTTGGCACATGCTGGGGCCCCTTTGGCGGGACCCACTCCCACTTCCACATGCTCATGTTTTGCGGGAGAAGGCAGTCTCTGGGCAGTCTGGACCCACAGACAGAAGGATGAGAAACCCTGGGCCATCCCTCCCTCTGTGTGTCCTGGGAGTGTGCCTTTCACAACCCCGTGAGAGAAAAAGAGTGTGTGTGTGTGTGTGTGTGTGTGTGTGCATGTGCATGTGCATGTGCGTGTGTGCATGTGCACGCATGTGCGCATGTGTGCACGTGTACCACACTATATGTGTCTGCACATGTGTCTGTACACATGACTGTGTGCTTGTGAGCATACCCGCGTGTGTCATTTGCTTCCGGGTGTGGATGGCCCCCCTGTGTGTCCAGAAGGCTTGTGTCCGCATTCTGCCCAAATCTGGAACAGAAGCCCTGGGAATGTGTTGGGGGGGGCTTGTTTAATGCTCCCCCCATCTCAGCTGTGAGGTGCAGAGTCTCCTACTAGCTCCTCCGTCCACCAATACAATGGTGGCCAGTGGTAGGCTGAGATCCCCCTGGGCAGGGAGAACCCACTTCAGAATTTGAGGTCAACATCGTGACAAGCAGGTCAAATCCTGGGCACACTTAGCTCCTGCTTCAGCTTCACCAGCTAGGACAGGCAACAATTCAAATGTTACCTCCAGGGGGTCCTGCCTTCAGCACCTCTAGTTGTGATGGGGTCCATCTGGTGATCATTTGTCCAGGGTGTCGTGTAGGGTGCTATGGCTGGTGCCAAGTGGCAGGTAAGGGTGTTGGTGACCCACCCACATGACAGTGAGAGGACCCTGGGCTGGGGCTCAGAGGTTATGCCTATCCTCAGGGACAGCCACTGTCATCATCTGTGAAATGGAGAAAGTGCTATTATAGGTGTGGGGTGTAAAACAAGCTCACTGAAGTAAGCAGTGGGTTTGCCACTCCCATCCCCTTTGTGTGTGTATGTTGGTAGGGAGGGATACTAAGGCTTGAACTCAGGGCCTATCCCTGAGATCCTTTTGTTTGAAGCTAGCATTCTACCACTTGAGCCACAGTGTCACTTCCAGCCTTTTCTGTGATTAATTGGTGATAAGAGACTCATGCAATTTTTTTTTTTTTGCTCGGGCTGGCAATGAACCTTGATCCTCAGATCTCAACCTCCTGAGTACCCTTCAGGCCTCAGTATTCCCCTCTAGAAAGCAGGTACCAATTCCTGTCTTGCACCAGCTAAGGTGAGGAAGTAGAGTTCCCAGGACAGAGACTCAGGAGGTGAATGGTTAGCACTCAGGTGTTGACTGGCAGAGGGAGGGGTGCTCATGAGCCTGGCACCTGGGTGTGGCATGGCAGGGGAACAATGGCCTAGATTTGGGATCTGGTTTAATGTGGAGTCATCACTAGCATGACCTTGGGTGAGAGGTCACTTCTCTGCCCCTCCGTCTTCCTCAGCTGAACCGTGGGCCACTAATCAGAAGTTGTTTGGGGGATGAAGCTGATACCCAATGTGATTAGCTCCACGTTTCTAAGGAGTTTTGTTTTAGTTTTGGGACAGATACAATGTAGCCTGAGCTGGCCATTAAATTCTTAATCCTTCTGCCTCAGCCACCCTGAGTGGTGGGATTATGGGTGTGAACCACTATGCCCATTTTCCTCAGGATTTTGACCCCTGTGCTTCTGCCTTCAAAATTCTCCCCAAATAACTCCCAACTCCCAGTCAGCAGGTATCCCCTTGGAAACTGCCACCCTCCCCCCCATTTGCAGATGGGGCAGTGAAAGATTATCTTCCCTGAAGGCTACAGGTGACAGGATGGTGGAGGAAGTGGCAGGCAGGGAGGGAGAGAAGGCACTGAGGGAGGCATTTCCTCAGCTGGGGCAGCACCTGCACTCTGCCCCTCTGAAGCCAGAGGCCTGCAGGGCCTGTAGAGGCCCTCCCCACACCCACACCCCAGGCTGGGCTAAAGCCTGGGAAGGTGGGGAGAGATCCTATAGCCTGGGAAATGGGGGGAAGGAGAGGGCTGGCCCATGAAGGTGGGACTTGTGGGGCCATGAAGCTGGTCCTGGCTTCACTCCCTCTGCTGCCCATGGGCTGAACAGTCCTCTGGCTCTGCCCTCTTCTTTGTTTCCTAGCCTTGTGCCACAGACTGGACATCTATGGCAGCTGATAAGCACCAGAAGGGGCCCAGCTGGCAAGGCTGGGACAGGAAAGGAGGCAGAGGGAGCCCTCCTGTGGTCCTGGGCCTGTGGCCCGGAAAGTCTCCCCGGAGCCTCCGTCTGTGCATCCAGAAAAGGGGTCAGGAGAAGGAAGGAAATTGGACAAGTGTGTATCCACAATGGAAGGTGTATATAAGCAGATTTCCACACTGGCCCTCTCAGAGTTACGGAAGCTGCTGGCACTTGGGTGTGTCAGTGAAGTTCATGTAGCCTGCACCCAACCTGGTGAACCCTGACTTGTGACCTCCCCCCCTCCCACCCCAGGTAGGGCTGCTCAACTTCTATCACCAACCAGAGACCAGCCAGCCTGGCTGTCCCACCTGTTTCCCCAAGCCCTGTGTGTTCTCAAGGCCCAGCACCCTGCTATACCCCTCAGGGTCTCTGCCCTGTGGCTTAGCTGCCCCTGTACCCTGGCCAAGGTCACCAATGCCCTCCCTGTGGCCAAATCTTAACTGCTGAGTGTGCTCACCCCCACCCATTCATTCCCAGCCTGCAGACCCTGAGCCAGACAAAGAAAGGGGAGTGATTTGGGTCTCATGGTTTCTAGGGTTAAATGCTTTAGAGGACAGAGCCCACCGGTGGAAGCCCAGCCAGAGGGGTGGATGGGCACACAGCCTCAGCAACTCCCCACTCCCCCCAAATCTCCCAGCAACATCCCCTGAGCGCGTGGGCCTCTCTGTGTCCCACTGCAGCGGGTGTTTTGTGTTGCAGTTTCTTCTTTTGTCACTGTATTTTAAACATTTTGCACATGGAGAACTATTCTTGTGCATCATGCTTTACTGGTGTGAGTGGAATCCCTTCCTGAGAATGCACCATAATTTATTTATCTAAACCTGCCTTGGCCTCTCACACTGCCTGTAGTCATGTAGCTGGACCCTGAAGATTTGGCTCCCCACCCACCCACCTCAGCTGGTGTGGGGGAGGGGCCCACTCCCAGGCCAAGGCCTGATTCCCACTCCCTCTGCCCCCCCCCCCCCATTCCCAGCTCCCAGCCCCTCTGAGCCTTTTTACAAACATCAGGTGGCAAGGTGGTAAGTTGAATCTGCTTCCTGCCATGGAACCAGGATGCAGCTTTGAGGACAGCCATCTGTGCAGCCACTGCTTTGGGGCCATCTCTCTCCTGACCCCCACCTCACACAGCTTCCAGCCTCTCTGTTGTGTGTGTCCCGATTGCCTCCTTTCTCTGCCTTCCCCTGCGGTGGGAAGAGGGAGGCTGAGGAGTTGGTGACATTGTCCTTCAGCTGTGTGCCATCTGACGGAGGTGGCCTGTGAACCCTTGGACCCTGATGACCCTCTCCAGGGGAGCCAGACCCTGGAGCCAAGAAGCAAGGGTTGTTGGTTCCAAAGTGGTCTTGGAGTAGTGCTGAGCAGAGAGAAACTAGGGTCCCTGTGTTAGCCCAACTGGGCCTGGCAGGCAGAGAGCCCCATCCAGCACCTCAGGACATGAAGCTGGGCTGATGGGAGATGTAGAGTGTCAGGAGCTGACCTAGCTTGACTCAGAGCAGCCTGCCCCATGCAGGGCAGGTGGGGGGATGTGCTTTCTAGTCCTATGGTCAGCACCCTGGCCTTCTCAACAGGCTGTCATGGATCATGCTCTGTGGCAATTGAAGTTTGTGGGTGTCAGACAAGGGTTTTGCAGTCAAACTTGGGTCCAGCTGGGTTAAATGGTGCTGACAGAGCCTCTTTCCTGCAGGGCATCTTGGGGCCTTGGTTTCAGACTGGCAGCGCTGAGTCTGACAAGCATCTCTATGCAGCCAACATCAGGGCCTGTGTGCTGAGGAACCCATTTGGGGAA